AAAAGTTGGTCTGTTCATCCTTCTTTTTTTAATTAAATATTTCTATATGTCTGTTAGTTGTAGAAGTATGGTATATGTAATAGGATTTAATGCATAGAGATAAATGTAAAATTCGATGAAGACTCAGCTACTGAAAATTGTCAATTAAGTATTCCCATTAATTCATCGCGAGAATGCAATTCTATTTATATTTCCGCTTTACCTCATTGCGGTTTTCTATCGAACCAGTCGGCACTTTATTTAGTTTAACTTTGCGCACTGGAACTTCATCCATTTCCATAGGTAATTCGATACAATAGCGAATATTCAAAGCGTCCGATATCAAAAGCTATCTGTGAAATTCTGACGCGTGTAAAATCTACTAAATGTCGCATGGAATTTACAACAGTACTTGTAAAATCACGAGAACAGGTCGTAATGCAATATTCCGATATTACCGATCCGCAATGAGAAACGTTGCAGGTGCCACCTGTATCACTTCTCTGCCCTTTTCCATCATTTTTCATCACACTTCGCCAAATATCGAATTCTCTTACTATTTTATCGCGTTAAATTAAGCAATTCTATCCTTAGTCGACGAGATTTATATTATTTATACTTTACGTTTCAAACTTGGGATTTTAAACTTCAATTATAGGATTCCTTTAAAAATATCAAGACTAATATGTGGAATAAGGTCACTAATTTCATGTGCATACATTTGAATAGACTTTGGTATGACAGAATTCGATTAGATAAATTTGCAAATGTCAGTTTTACATGTATTTTTATCTATGTTATTTATTTCTCTGTTCTTTGAATATGTAGGGAATGTAAATATTCTATCAGAGGTATAACTACATTGAGATTTAATATATTTTGTATATTAAAGGTATATATTTGTGAATATTATTGGTAACTATTCCTAAAGGCTTTATACTTACAATTGTTTCTCACTCGATACAGGGAAAGGATTGCCCAAGACACACATGTGAATGCAAGAAGGGTGTGGATCGTGAACTATGTTAGGTTCTCATGATTAATTCAATCGGGTCAGTAGTTGTTTATTGCATTGCAGGTACGAGACTGTATCAATTGAAATTTACCTAAACGAAACATATAAGAATAAACAACCATACGTTATGAACAGTTAGATCACTCTCTAGAATAAAAATTAAGTTTCTTTGATAATTAACTTAATGATTGTCGCAGAAAATTGATTATAGATCATTCAATTTGCAAAGAAGTAGTGTCTTAAAGATTATACATTTTTATTTCATGAATAGAAGATGATACATATACATAGTTGTGGTCTTTTCTGTTAATTGATTACAGATCATTCAATTTGCAATGAAGTAGTATCTTAAAGATTATACTTTTATGTCATAATATTAAGATTATATTTTTATTTCATACATGGAAGATGATATATATTTTTGTATAGTTGTAGTAAGTTATAATAAATATTACACTATGTACAGTACTAATTTTCACAAAAATTATGTTAGTTATAAAATTATAATTATACCTCTATTGGTAGTTAAGTTATAGTTGATAATTAAGAAGCTTTTTGCTATCACTATGCAGCAAAAACAAGTGATCAGTCTTCATTTCCAAACTAATTAAATTTATTCCCATAACACTATTAGTTAGTATCAGAGATCATGTTATTTTTGAATTGGAAGTGACTTTCATTTGAAACAGTGGATCAGAATAGAACATAGATAATTGTAAAAAGATCACTGGCAACCAGAGTCTTCATCCCATATAGTTAAGTTCCAGGTCCATCAAGGGTTGGTTTTATTGCAATGGTCCTGCTACCCTAATAGCTTCCTGAATGCTTTGTTTCAGATCATCTGTTACACAGTCATTTCTATCAGACCCTGTCTATCTGTCTCTTATAGCATTTGATTACCTCCATATACGAAGCAACGAACTGCCATTGAGCAATCTCGATACAATTATTGCGTTTCCTATCTCCCTGGCATACTACTTTAATTCCCTTGGTAGCATCTGGCTCCATATTTAACAGGTGACCTATCATTGATATGTGGCTATATTCTCTATATGATTCTACGTCTGCTCTACTGATTTGAAATACTCTCAAAGGTAGCCTCCTCAATATATGATTCTCTTTATTTTAATTAATTAGTACTATTTTTTAATTATATTCTCTTAAAAATAATTTCTCGTAACTCAATTGTTATTTTATTTTATTAGGCAGGATTCAATTGGGAAAGGAAAATGAGACCCTGTTAGATACTAAAATGGAGCACTTATTTGGTATTCTAAAAAATTTTCTGTGGCATTTAAGAGGACCAGCTATGTGATATTACTCTCATGGAAAAATTCCAAAACTTTCTCTCAAACCACTGAAACAGTTTTAATCAAGTCTCAATTAACTAAATTCTTTGAATAAATTTTAGCTCAAAATTGTTTAAAAATTTGTGGATAATTTTCCTTCTCTCTCAACTTTGGAATTATTTTTCAAATTCCATCATTCAGTGTGTTCAATAATTTTGGTAAGGTCTGCATGAAGCAGAAATTTATCATTTGTTAATTTAATCAATTATTTCAATTCATTTTTAAATGCAATTATATAATATATTAAAAAATTTAATATATAAGAGATATGTAAATTAATTTAATATTTATAGATTCTGATGGGCTATATGGCATTAGTGTAGTATTTTCGAGTTTCGGGACACCCTGTATAAACACTTGCCACGATCCTCCGAAGATCGCCGAGGTATCCGTGACGGAATCACGCGGACCGTTTTGGCGATGGTCCAGTGGCGCATATTCTAAAAATTCCGCCGCATTCCTACCCCAGAGAAGAGGGATAGAAAACGAGCAAGCAGAGAGTCGTAATCGCGATCGTCCTCGTGGCCCGTTTCGATTTCGGCGAGGAACGCGCGCCTCCGAGAACCGAACCTTCTCTCTTTTGTCTTCCCGAGCGTTTTTAGCCACGCGATCGTTCTGAGGACGTTGTCCTGTGAGAAATGAGAGATGCCTCGCGAAACTCGCTCGGACACTTATTTTTAGAACTAACTTATCGAACGCAAACTCGTTAAAGTCAGAGTCCAATATCAGTGGGATTAAAATATCAGTGGGGCAATTAAAATCGAATTTTGTAGCAAAATTTTCGTCATTGTCTCTGTCTCTGCGTTTGCAATTCATGGCAATAATATAGCATAGGGGTTAATGAGAGATGTTTAACAGTTCTTTGAAAAATGTCGTTTTGTGAGGATAAATTAGCTTCATGATTTCTGATAGGAGTTGTTAGAAGTGTAGACTTCGTAATTATTTTACACCCTTATTTTTGTGAACTGTCATTAAGTCAGATGTTCTAGACATAGTGAATCCATTCTAAATACTTATAGTTTCCACAATACTCTTTAAGGTTAGTTTGTTGTTCATAAAAATCGCCTTTAGGCAGATAACCATCCTCAGGTTCTTACTGTTGCACCTCTTCCTCACAGCATCAGCTTCTGTACACTAGTATAGACTCGTTAGGTATAAAACCTAAATATGGTATACAATTCACAAAATCTCAATTGTATTCTGGGACAAAGATAATATTAAAAGTGCAATAAGTCCCATTTTATTGCTATTAAAATTGGAATCCACTTTTGCAACATCTTATATTAATTTGAACAGTAGATAGTACATTATGTGACTAGGAATATGCACAAATATATTAGGAAAATGGTTTCCATTGATTCAACTTCTACAACATAAAAGGTGCATTATTATAGAGGTCTTGGGAAAGAATGATTACAATTAACAATTGCAGGAAAATTATTTTAAAATGATTGCATACATAGAATGCATCTAAAATAGTATTGTTTCAAAACTTAGAGTATATTATAGTTTTCAGAATGAACGATACATGTAGGTTCTAAAAATATAAAAAAAAAAGATTCTATTTATACCTCGAAGCTTCTCTTCACGTACAATCTTTAAAAGTGGCCTTCATTGTCACGTCGATACAGCGTATCATTGATTTTCTCACGCATTTGAGCACCCTCTTGACTGATTTCTTGCAAGATCATTTTGTGCATACTTTGACCTTAAAATGAATTCTCGCTCATATAGGGGTCTTACCTGAAACATATTAAACGTGAATAAATTTTGCGACGAATCTTTTGAATTATCCTGTACCTTCCATTGTTAGAAAAATAAGAGAAACGATAAACGCAGCAACTTACTATAGTCTACTTGTTATTCAGGAACAGAATTTTTGTTCGAAGCTATCTTAAGATCTCTTTGTGCGTCTATTTGTGTGTTTCATCTTTCACTGCGTGACTGCGCAAAAATATGAAAAATAAAAAATGTACTAACCGTCTCACGCGATACTTCTCCATCGAGACATTCTGCATACTTTACTCTACTCTGAAGCAGAATAAAAGTGTCTTCGTATGTTCGATAAATTCCATAAATGCCAGTCAATAACATAAAATGCTTCTTCTTTACATTGCAATAACTCTATGCATTGCTTATTTCTCCAAACGGTTCATTCCGACGTAAAAACAACAGAATTTTCATTCCTAACCTAATCACTGTTTTTACCCTTTGCTCTACGTCTTATTAACATTTCAGTGTAATTTAACAGGTGGACAAGATCAAGTTTTTATTTGCAATCGTTTCATGTTCGATAGTATTCCAAATGTGTCCAACGATGAAATAAAATCGATCCTCTGTTCGACCGCAGCATCATCGTCGACCATCAACCAACTTCACAGTGTCGAATTAACGTTCCGCGCATGCGCACCACCCGGCCTTATCAGTCTTCCCAAAACAGCACTCGACGTGTGAAAACTCGTGTTTATTCGAACTCCCGTTAAACTGCCTTAATAAAAAGCACGGTCGCAAAGCCGTGCTCGTAAAATCGTAAAAATAAGCAAAGAAATCAAAAGAATCGTGTAATTTGCATGGAAGCGCGTTTGAACGATGTTTAAACGTTTCCCCGATTTCGATTTCGAGCGAGGAAGCACGCTCTCTGTCGTTAGGGGTGAGTACTTGACTTCGACTCATCGTGAGTACAGTGCACTGAAATCCTCGCGGTCGAAGTCGCAAGCGGGGGGACTCTTTATTTAGACGCGGACGAACGATTGTTCCCCAGAATACCGCGAAAGTGAGAGAGAGAAAGCTGTGGTTCAGCTGGAGCTCGCGCGAATCGAGAGCGACTCAAGTTCAATGATAATCGAGACGGACTTGGCACGCGTCACCGCGACCGGATTCCCCATTCGTTGATCTTGGACCGATAGTGGCGCCACGCTAGCTACAGACATGGCGTCGACCATGTTTCTGCGCGGAACCGAGGAATCTGCCAGCCAGACAACGACACTGCAGCGTGTGTACCTCGTGTCGAACGAAGAGTCCTAAAAATGCGTTAAGACGAATCGATTACTCAACAACACGGACTGTGAGACGTTACTCGTTGTTCAGAGACTTAGAATAACAGCGATATAAAGAGAAGTAGGATCGTAACAGAGACAGAGTTAGTTGTATACGTGGAGGGGTGAAGTTTGAGGATAGTTGGTATTGACCAAAGGCGAACACCAGGCGATAATCGGTGTCGCAGCCGGTGTTCGATGAGAACCGAACAAGATTTGGTGCATACCCAGCGTACGTGAAAAGATCCTCGGGCACGAGGACGGGGCGCCGAAGAGATCGTCATCAACCACGACGATCACGACGACAACGATGCTGCGCTCGCCGGCGCGCGTCGTTCTCCAGGATTCTTCCGCCTCGACGTCCTCGACCCTGTCGGCGCCACCGACGCCGGTCCACCACGGCGCCGCCAGCAGCTCGACCGTCTCCTCGCGTCTTTCCCTCCTCGACACCTGCCACAGGAAGATCAGGTTCTTCGGCGAGCTTGTCGCGTGAGTCCCTCCGTCTAGTTAGAGCGTTATCAGCCACCTATTTATGGAAATAGGGGACAGATCGAGTTTCGGTTCAGGCTAGGTCAGTGTTTTTCACACTCGACTTTACAAAAATAATATCGCAAGGTTGCTGCTATCAGTAAATGACTTGCCGGGGAGTTAAATTGCTCGTCGTCTACTAAATATGCTAAAAATAGATAAATAAGTTTTACCGGGCCAAAGTCATTTTTCTTTCTTTTTTTATCTTGTACGAGTTTTAACGATCGTGGATACGTTTTCTGTAGGTTGTCGAGATGTATTAATTCATATTTCGAGCGTAACTTATATTCTGAGTGGAAAAGATTAAGTTACGTAAATTGATTTAAAGAGCGAGATTAACATTAAGAATCGTTTAATTAGCTTTTCATGAAGGGATATAAGCTATGAGAAATCGTAAAAGTCCCGAGAAATGTTTGCTCGCTCATTATTTGAAGCAGTAATTTTCAGTTTTGAATCAGAAAAGTATGGTCGGTTTGGATCGTAACTAAAAGCTAAAGCTCGAAGTAATTTGAAGACGTGGTGTGAAGTTGTACGAACTGTCCCACTTTCCAAGTTTCAGGAAAGAAGAATAGGAAAAGAACTGCTAACTGAGCAATCTAGGTCATTGGCAGATGGTTTTTTACCTTATTGTTAGCAGTTTCGATGGCACATTTCTGTATTATCTGGAAAATTCTGACGATAACTTCAATATCTGCTAAAAATTCTTCTGTGTAAAAAAATATTGAATATTGCAAAATAACATTTTTATTGGATTCAACAGTTTTATATTTGTTTTCCTACTATCTTTGATACGGTTTTTGACATTTCATTTATTGGAAAAATATTCACACAATTGATATTTTATTGACATTGATATGTAACATAAATTTTCTCAACACTTTTCTGTTTGTTTTTAAAGCTATGAACGCATGGAAAAAATTCCTCTGACAATTTCAGTTTTTATTTAATCTGATATTTACATTTTATTTTTTAATTTAATTTCCAATATTTAATAGAAGTTTTATTATTCGTACAGTGCAAGGTAGAATGCTGTATATACCTATCTATAATCTAAAGAAAGGGATTAAAAATTAAAGAAATATACTTGTTTACCATATTTTTGAAAAATATATATATATATATATTTGTTTAACGATATTACATTTGTCGATTGGAATTATCCAGATGAATAGTGAATCCGATTATTTATTTATAGTAAGAAAAATAACATTTAAATATTCTAATCTCTTCATGACAATATTTTTTAATTTAAATGTTTGTCAAAGCTTTTTGTGATGCAAATTGCATTTCTTATTCAAACACAAGCCAGTGTCCGTTTAAAGACATTCTGCATATGCATGGTGTAAAATTAAAGCTGTTACAGGTCAACATCTCAACAGCTGCAAAAGATGAAAATTGGTGCATTATTATAATTGCCTCATTATGAAAGCCAATTTTATATTTCATATTAAAATTCATTGTAATTCACATGATACTAAAGAACAATTATTTTTACAATTTAATTTCTAATATTTGCCTTTGATATATCAATTTTTAAACGAAATTTTTACGCCATAAATGAAAATTAATTATCACGTAAAATACAGAAAAATTCCTTCCTTTGTAGTAAAATGTGAATTTTATATTTGCTGAGATATTATTCTGCTACACTTTTCAATTTTATACCGTGCATAAAGGATTAGTAGGAAACGATGATACAACCGGAAACAGAATAATCCCCATCTTAGATCATATCCAAATAAAATAATTCTTTGTCATAAAAGCTTCGTTTCCTTGAAAATGAAAACGTCACTTTGTTAAAAGGAAGAGCGAAAGAGGAAGTTTTTTTATGGGAAAAAATTATTTTATCATCGAGGTAATTTTCCAAGTTTCCGGTTGTATCAATGACTTCCGATTTACCTTGTTATATTTCTCTGTATGGCCGGCTGAAAATCGTTCATTATGTTTTTTTGCATGGCATACGTATTTCTCTGATTGCGCATCGAGAATCGAGAATTTTTCATTGTTTAATGCTTTGCTGGTCTAGGTTAGGTACATTTCTGTTTTTACCATTTTCAATCTCGATCGAATTTCCCACCGATAGACGTTTAAGAATGTCCGCTGCCTCTTCAGCATAAGAACCAAAAGAATATATGGAACGTGCAGTTGTGGGTAGTCGACACTTTCGAAAATAGCTGAAAACAAATTGATAGAGGATAAAATGGGCACACATTTGTTCGCGAAATTGAATACCGTTCTCGCTGCACGGTGTTAAAATTGGAAAAGTTAGGTGTGCTTCTCCGTCGATAAAACGTGCACTGTCGTTACGAGCTTGGAATCGTATACCAACACGAAACCAGTAACGACAATTTTTTCCTCAATTTTTTATTAATATTTCAAACAGATCACTTACTCGTTCGATCCTCTCTAAAGAATTTTGTCCTCCATTTTATTCCAGTAGTTCTCGAAATTTTCAATCGTTTACGTATTAACCTCCATAACCTCACATTTCCTCTCCTCTTTTACGTATGAGACAGTTCTCGAATCGTTCGTTCCACGGGATGTATCGCGTTAAGCGACAAACCTAAAAGTATAATAATTTCGTTACACATGAACGAATACTTTATTGTAAATACTATTATAAAATTCATTGTACGTACATACTGGATCACATACTTGATTTAGATTTTGTTTACACCGGTTACAATATACGTTCTGTTCACTTACGTTTCTGTTACAAAATGATTTTCGATACTTTTCACGCCACCTCGAAATTGGAATACACGCGTGTCGACATTCTTCGATAATACCGCACAAAGCGAAATTCGAAACGATGATTCCAAGCATGTAGACGACAGCGTACGTTGAACTCGATGAAATAACCTCAAATAGCGTAGAACTACTATACGTCACACCGACGATTTAGAACACGCAAGTTTTTCAGACCCATATAAACGCAATGCTTGAAACGTAGCGAGAACCGGCGAAGAACACGATAAGTCGAAACACGCTTTAGCAATGGCCGGTGGCGATTAAACAGGAATAGAGGGCGCGCAAGAAACTTATCCGATTACATTATTATGGCGGCATCTCGTGGAAGCGATCGTGAGAACATAAAGGCGCGAAATCGAACGAGGTTTCCCGAATACACATATATATAGATGTATGTGTATGGCGTTCACAGCTTCTCGTTTGGTTACAGCCACCTTACCAACAGAAGGTTAAAGAAGTCTAAAATCTCGAGAGGTTTTAAATAAGCGAGTTACTGTGAAATAAATAGAATAGAGGATGGAAAGGATTCTGAAATACTCGTGACTAATGGGAGATTTTTAATTTCACGTTTTTCTTTTTAACACGTGTTTCGTTACACGAGTGACAGGTGAATTAGGTTAGGTGGAGAAAGAACTTCCTTAAATAATAAAGCAAGGTAGGTATGCAGGACAATTTTAAGCATCATGAATGTACGATATTTCTATTATTTTTTTTTTATTTTTTTTTTTTTTTTTTTTTTTTTTTTTTTTTTTTTTTTTTTTTTAATTAGATACTGGTTAATCAAATTGAGTTCGAAGATTTAAAGAAATATTTCTTGTGTTGCAAAGGGAATAAATTTGAAATGAACGAAACAGGTAAAAGAATGGAATGGAAATACGTGAAAAGTAAGGAAAAATCACACGATTTTGAATTAAAAAATACGGATTTTTTTTTATAGAATGGTATGTAGTTAATAAAAAATTGGTTTTGACCAGATTTTTTTTACCTCTGTGGTAGTTTTTAGTGACGACTGAATGTTTTGCGATGTTGTCTTGCGATATCTGGTGAAAACTGGCATTAATGGAACGACGAAAAAGCGAAAGGTGTACAAGATGGCGAGCAGAATTCGATTGGAAGATCAAGTCCGGCCAGTTTTTTCCAAACGAGCGCAGCTTCTTTCCAGTGGCATGTGCTTTATAATATAGAGGAAAGGGCGTAGACATGGCTGAATTTTATCGCTCTCTGGTTATACTGCATGTGAATAGAGCATTTTAGCGGCTGGTAGGAAACTGATAACGAAACTCCTCATTAAACCTCGGATACAATGTCAAAACATTGAACACTCTTCTCGAACAACACCTCATGACATATTTCAATTTTCTTTTTAATTATTATCTCTTACTGTTACTCGTCATGAAACAATAAATTCCTTAATTTGCATAACAGTTCAAAGCAAATTAAAATCTACTTAGGAGATATAAAATAATTTTTTTTCTTTTAAAAATTCTAGGCTCTTTTTTCTTGGAATACTCGCTAGTATTATGGGTATATAATTAACTTCTAATAAGCGATACTAATTTTGCTATGAGAAATATTGGACTGCAGTTTTATCCCATATAATATAACTTCACTTCGTTTCAAATTTGCTTCGAAAGATTCTGATCAATCGAAACCTGTCTCAAACAGTAAAGTACCATCAGTCAAATCACTGGGAGCTTCGAAAATCTATAGCACTTTCGAAAAACACAGGAATCGAATAAAGCACGTGATCGTGAGTTGACGTAGAAAATCGAGGCTATCTATCCAAATCTGGGAATAAAAAATAGAAGGTAAAAGGAGGAAAGAAATGGCTAAAATTAATCGGCTATATTCAGCTCGCAATTTCCAACGGAGCGTTGATTAATTTCCCGTTTCCATAGGTATCGAACGAAGTCTGTAAGCTCGACGTGAAAAAAACGTGTGCCATTGGTCTGATTCGAGGATGTGGCGGGAATAAAGGAACTTTAATCAATTAACTTTCGTCCGGGAAGAAGCTTCATTTGTCCTTAGAAGCGGAGGAACGAAGGAAACAGGAACAGGAAAATGTCTGACCAAGGACTCGAATGATAGATTAAAAGCGAATCGAACGGAGCTATTTGTAGAGACCGTTCGCTTTCGTATAAATCCGATAATTCGTTAATCTGATTAGCGAACCCGTGCCAGTCGATTAAAGACGTAATGTTCTGTGCACA